AAAAATAATATGAAAGAAATAATAATAATAATAATAGCGATAAAATAAAATAAGACTTAAGGGGACCAAATTAAAAAAAATGGAATTAACGGGCTAAATTGGCATTAAAATGGACTGCAAAAAAAAGAGTAAAATGTTAGGAGCCAATTCACAAAGATACAAAAATATAAACCAGGACCAAATTAATTGAATTGCAAATTCGGGGGAAAAATTACAAATGGTGACCAAAATGAAAAGCGATTCAAAATACCAGGGACTGCGAGAGGATTTAAGAATCTGTTATTTGTAAACTGGTCCTTGGTATATAAATACCAAAAAATGCCCCCTTTCATTTCATTTTCGTATATTCTCCCATGCTCTTTCTCTCCCAAACGAGAGAATGCTCTCAAATTCTCTCCCTTACAAAACCAGCCGATCTTCTTATTCAGCCCCTCTCCGCCATAATGTCACCGCTCCGACCATCGGTGATGGTGGCCAGAAAAAAAAAACCAAATAGCCCAAAATGTTCCCCTCGTCACCATTAGGTCAGATCTGAACCCCGAATCACCATAACCAAACCCAAATCGCGTGGATCTAAGGCAAACCCATTCGACTTTTACCATTTTTCGGCGAGGCCCTTCGTCTTCATGATGCTTGCTCCTTATTTTGCTTGGCTTTTGGTTGTTTACTGCTTTTTCTCTTTTTGCATGTGGGTTTTAATTCGTTTGGTTCTTTGTTTTTTGTTTTCGTGGTCGATTCTCCGGTCTTGGTTGATGTTGTGATGTTTGGTTGCTCTGTTGTTCTCGGTGTGTGTTGTTTCTGTGGCTATCCACTATTGGCTGTGACTCTCGGGTTTCGATTTCTCGTTGGGTCGTTGGCAGTATGTTCTCGTGTTGTTTGCTTGATGGTTCGGTGTATTGTTGATGGTTGTTCCCTTTGCTGTTCTGTGGTAGGGTATTTATACCCACCACCGGTGTTCTCTTACTTTGATCTTCACGGTAACCAACTTGACGTTGGTCAGGGATTTCAGGATGGGTCAGTCCCGATTTCCCCGGCCAGAAATCCCGGTGTTGACTGGTGCTTGGTTGTTTAGGCTGCTGGAACCTTCCTTGGCTTCATGCGGTGCTGTGACATGCTGAAACCCTAACTTTAAACTCTAGACTGGATCAGGCCCAATGTTGGACCGAAATATGGAATGTTATTGGACCCTGAAAAAATATAAAAAGAAAATAATAAAAAGAAAATAAATTAATAATAATAATATAATATAAATTATGTAATATATATATTTCAAAAATATTTTTTAAACTATATATTATATTTTAAAAAAGTTTTCAAAACTATATATTATATAGTTTTCAAAATGTTTTAAAAATATTATATAAGTTTTCAAAAAATGTTTTTAAAACTATATATTATATAATTTTTCCAAAAATGATTTTAAAACTATATATTATATATTTTTTCAAAAATGTTTTTAAAACTATATATTATATAATTTTTCAAAAATGTTTTAAAAAACTATATACTATATAAGTTTTCAAAATGTTTTAAGAACTATATATTATATAAGTTTTCAAATTTTTTTAAAAACTATATAATATATAAATGTTTTCAAAACTATATATTATATATATTTTAAATATATTTTCAAAAATCATATAATATATAAACTTTTGAAAATCATTTTCTGAAAATTATATATTATATTTTGTCAAAAACATTTTCACAAACTATATTACTATATACATATTTATATATATATATATATAAAATAATATATATATATATATATATATATATATATATATATATATATATATATATATATATAATAAAATTATTCCGGACGAAAATGAGTGTATATATATTTTGTTTATATAGATAAGAAATGACTTGAGTAGTTAAGATACATTTAACTTAATTGGTAAGATAAAAAAAAGTCAAATTCATTAAATTTAGGATAAATTTTACTATTAGTTCACAACTTATTATTTATTTTCTAGATTGGTCATCAAACTAATTTCTTTGACAAATCTTCACTAACATCATCTATGTTTCTATTTCAATCACTGATTATTTTTAACGACAATACTGAATTAATTTGTTAAAAATTTTCCAGACCATTTTTTATTAGCAGCTTATATATTATTTTCTAAATGATTTTATTCTAACTAATAAAGTGATGACACATGTGTTCTCATTCTATTCCTAGAAAAAAAAATTATATTATCACATGTATCGATAATATTTCAAGAAAAAATAAATGCGATTGAAAAAAAATTCTCGTTTCGAAAAAATTGAAATTTCCTTTACGATAGAAAAACTTACGGTTCGAGGAATCGCCACCAATCTTTGATTAAGGTGTGACTAGGACCCAAAAATGTTTTTTATTTTAAATAAAAATTAATTTTAATTAAAATGAAAAATGAGGTTTGTATTACCAAATTTCGAGTTCGAGAGTCAGTTACGCGTGGGGAATGATTAACATCCCCACAGCGCCCTAAATCACTAACTAGTCAATTAGCTAATGTCTTTGTAATGAAATTTACAAATTCGAATTTAATTTATTTTATGATCCCATAAAACAACAAAATGTGAATTTTATAATGAAATATAATAATATTTAATTATTTTCTATCGAAAAAAAACAAACCCCTCATAACTTGAGGCAATCAATTCTTATTCCAATCGAAATTAAAATTACCAAGCCTTTTTAGAAAGAAGAAGGATATTCGATTATTTAAAAATATCGAGATCATACCTTAGATAAGTTCTAACAATCTTCTCACAAAAAAATTAAATAACCGAATATTTCTTTTTCTTTCGTTCCCAAATTTTAAGTGATGAATCATTTTTTAGGTGTCACTGTTGGATACACTTTCAATTTAAAATCGTCAAAAGCGACTATTTAATAAGTTAAGACAAATCTCTCAAAACAATTTTAAATTAAAAGAGTATACCCTTAATCCAATTATACAATTATAAGTCGAGTTATGTACATGAAGATAACATGCAAATTACAACACTATACTAATTAATAAAACTTTCTCCTTTCATATCTTTTATCCAAAGAAAATGACATGCAAACTAAAAAACAAAGAAATACCGAGGTTTTTTAATACCTATTGAATCTTGCTTTCGATTTCTCTGTTACCAAAAGTTGTTTTTACATTTGTGTTGGTGGGTTTATATACCCGATTACATAGATATTACAAACGTCAAAACCTCACTAAAAAAATCACTCATTTTTTCTTCTGATTTTTATGTTGATTCCATCTTTTTGTGCATGTGACTCTGATTTGGTGTCGAAATCGCCTCTCCGTCTGCCTCTGCCATTGTTGGGACGCATGGAGATGTCACGATCGTTGCCTGGATGGTTCTGGAATCCAAGCATTCATCAGACGCGTGTGAGTCAGCCGTTGATTTCTTCATGGTATGCCAACGTTGGACTTCACCAAGTGCAGCGGCTGTTAGGTTTTCACAGATCCCTCCTTTGTGCGCTTAATCTTGACCGTTGATGGAGAATGGATCAAATGCCCCAAACTGGGCTGCGTGGACTCTCTCTCACAATTGTGGAAACCCTAGGTGCTTCATGAGTTGGATCATTCGATTGGGTTAGATCCAACGGCCCCAAGTGTGGAAACCCTAGGTGCTTCATGATTTGGACCGTTCGATTGGGTCAGATCCAACAGCCCCAAGTGATGCAATTGTGGGACTATTTTTTAAATTGTTTTCAAAACTATATATTATTTTCAAAATGTTTTTCAAACCTATATAACATATAATATTTTTAAAATATTTTCAAAATTATATATTGTTTTCAAAATGTTTTCTAAAACTATATAATAGATAATATTTTTTAAAACTATATATTATTTTCAAAACGTTTCTAAAACTATATATAATATTTTTCAAAGCTATTTTAAAACTATATTTTTCCAAGATTATTTTATTGTAACATTTATTTTACCTTTAAACCATATATAATTAGAACCATAAAATGAAAGTAAAAAAATGGAAATGTTTATCTGGATAAAAACGTGTATTTACAGTATAATTTTTAAAAAAAATAATTGGATGACAAAATAATTGAATGACTAAAATAGAATAATATTGATAGTTATGTTACTAAACATTACCCTAGGTTCCAGAGGACAATTACGATGCTTCAAAACCAAAGAATCAAAACCGCATCTGCAGTCATGATTTGGCTGTCACCTTGTATTTACCGTGGTTTATTATTATAGCATCGTTGTACTGAATAGTAAAAAAGAATTTTGATCTAAAAGTAATTTTAAATAAGTATTAAAATAACAAATAGTAACTTTTGTTAAATACAAAAAGGAGAAATTAATTAATAAAGCTTTCCTTTTGATATAAAGAAAAATATATCTGCAGTCTTAATTCTTTTAAGACATCAGCTGTCAAATGAACTTTGTGTCCGTTCACTTCTATCACAATTATCTCTATAGGCTCTTTTTCATATAAAAAAATCGTAAATAATAGGAAGAATCATCTTAAATATTAAGTTTTGAATATGGAATTGTAGAATTGTATATTTTTAAAATACTGCATAAAGCAATTAATGAAATTTTAATTTGATTGTTGCAACCACCAAACCCCTTGCTTGAATGGGGTTGGTGGATTTATGCCTAAATTAGACCTTGTACCAAAAAGGGATGTAAACTAATTTGATTAAATTCTGAACTTAATTGTCAACCAGATTTTAAACTTGATTAATGTAATGGATAAAAGACGTATTATTTTGAAATATCGAAATCAAAATCTCTCCACAAAATCATTTGTAGTTATTTATTCTTTTTGAAAAATTACGTGTTAGATTAATTATTATAATACTTAAAAATCTGTAAGTAATTAGAATCATAAAAAATTAATAAATAATTGTGAACCATATCATAAAAAATTAAATAAATTATCATAACCCAATGTTGGGCTGCTCCACTAAATTATGTTTATATAAATATATATATAAAATACTGTACTCCCAATATCTACAAAAAAATACTAACAAAATTTTAATTGACTAACTAGAAACCTAATATGGATGAACATTTCTGCTTAAGCCGTTGACGTTAGTGAAAAACCAAACCTGCTTATACGGCAGATATGAGCGCCGTTTAATCCCTTCGTTTTGTGCTCTGTTTTTAACATAAAGCTTTTCGTGAGCTGAAGGCAACGCCATTTTATTACTCTTCTCCGTCTTCTTCACTTTTGGTTTCTCTAGGATTGCTTTTAATGCTGTTTTCTTTTCTTCTTTTTCGTTTTTCTTCTCGGTTTTTACCGATGACGATGACGAAGAAGAAGAAGAAGGCGGAGGATGGCTTAAGAAGACGAACGCGGTTTTGCCGCCGCTATTACATCGAAGCTTCAAATCTCTGAACCTCCAAAGCTTGGAGAATCCCGTGGAGTTGCTCTTTCGACACGTATCCGGTGAGGCTTCCTCCACGGTTTTTGCACCTCTCCACTCGCGGAACGGTCCCGCCGGCTCCGACGACGTCGCGTCCGCCGAATCTTCCACGAAAATCTTCCTCACCTGAGGCGGTAGAGCGGCATCACCCTCTTCGGTCTTCAAAACGGTGCCGTCTTCGTCGGCGAAGAGGAGACCTTGGTTGAATAACGGGAAAATATGTCGGATCTGACCGTCTTGGAACAAATCGTCCGCAGAAATCGGGGATCCATCAGGACTTAAACAAACAAATGAAAACTCTTTCCCTTCCTCTTCGCTTTGCTCTTCCTTTTCATATTCATCTTCTATTTCCGGTTGACTGTTCAATTTCTCTTCATCTCCTTCCTCTTCCTTTTCATCTTCATCACCTATTTCCAGCTGACTGTTCGATTTCTCTTCTTCTTCCTTGTCAGGCTCTTCCTCTTTGAGCCGCAGTTTAAGTCCGAAATTATAACTGAACTTTCCTGCGCCGGAGAAGTTATTAAATGCGGGAGACAACGACGGTGAGGAACTCATGACTTGCATCTCAAAAAACAAAAAAGAAGAAAACCTCAGGAACGGAAGCCTTCGATTATGTATGGTTTTGCGGCAGATAAGTATACAAAGGAGAAAATAAACTTGAGAAGTAGATTTGAGTTTGTCGGGTCTTAAATAGAGGTGGTTAGTTGTAGGGTCGAAACTTCCCACACATTTTTTTAATTAAAATAATAAATATTAATTACGATTACGAAACGCGGAAATATTTTATAGCTAATGTAAATGCAAGGAAACGAGAATCAAAACCAAATACGTGGAGATTTTCTATTTTACTTTTTACCCTTTTTGGGAAAATTACCTTTTTCTATCATTTTCATTAAAATTTCCATATCTTTTTTATTTATAAATTAAAATATAATGTACGTGGCATAAGGCTTTTAGTGTTATCATGGGCAGCTTATGCCACGAAATACTAGTGGTTGATACTTGATAGGCAAGTAGCACGTGGCATGAGGCTATTAATGTTATTATGGTATAAAAATATTTACTGCTCCTTTGGGCAGAGATTTTTCAATTCTAATGAATTTTATTAAATAATTCGAAAAAAGTAAAAGTTGGATGATGCATGTGCAAAGATATTAGAGTATTAAACAATAAAAAATTAGTTCATCATACATGGTAAGGATGCATCATGCGTGATGTAATGGGGTACTTGCCTTGCCTTTAACAAGTGTTTCTCCCCCCTTTTACCAAATAGAGTTCTAGAAATAGACTTTTACCAAGTAGAGTTCTAGAAATAGACTTCTAACATGTGGTTCTAGAAAAAAAATTAAGTTCATAATGTAAATAAGTGGTGACTGCCTTACTTTTGTCTATTTCATCTTTATATTGAATGGACCCTTCTTAAATATTTTTATTCTAATAATTAATCCATTTCATATTAATAGACGAAAGAATAACAAATTAAATTATAAACTATTCATATATATATTTGTTTATATAGATAAGAAATGACTTGAGTGGTTCAGATACATTTAACTTAATTGGTAAGATACAAAAAACAAGTCAAATTCATTAAATTTAGGATAAATTTTACTATTAGTCCACAACTTATTATTTATTTTCTAGTTTGGTCATCAAACTAATTTCTTTTACAAATTTTCACTAACATCATGTATTTTTCTATTTCAATCACTGATTGTTTTTAACGACAATTCTGACTTAATTTGTTAAAAATTTTCCACACCATTTTTTATTAGCAGCTTATATATTATTCTCTAAATGATTTTATTCTAACTAATAAAGTGATGACACATGTGTTCTCATTCTATTCCTAAAAAAATCATATTATCACATGTGTCGATAAAATTTCAAGAAAAATTCATTATTACACCATTTTTTAATCTTACTTTAATCAAATAATTTGTTGTTTGGAAACTATGAATTATATTCTCATCACTCTTCTAGACGATGTTTGAAAACTATGAACCTTCTTTTTTAAAAATAACCAATTATCTCTCTAGACGATGTTTGAAATGACGACAGTGAAACAATTATTAAACAATGTAAGGGCAGAGTAGAATTATCCTAAAAAGTTAATGATGTTTTTCATTATAATAGAATTATTGGATAAGGTTGGAGCTAATCTGGAAGAACTGATGGGGTTGTAGACATAATCAAGAAAACAGCTTGACGAGGTCAATTGATTTTGGAACATTCGATGTTGAAGTTAGGCTGCTGGTAATAAAACAAATTTTACAAGTCAAGGTCAAGGTTAGGCGGGCACACATCCAAGTAGGACCTTTTTAAGTTCATTAACCCAAACAAAATAAATTAATATATCAATTTTATAAGGTTAAAATATAATGAAATGAATGAATTCAATAAAAGGAACTACTGTTATTTTTGAAAGTTTTAAATTCAAACACTAAAAAGGGTTATTTCAATTTAAGGTAAAGTATATAAATAGTTTCTAAAATTTTAGAGCGCTTATATTTTGGTCAACTTTTAAAACTTGCAATATAGTCATCGAACTTTTAGTTCGTTTTCAGTAAGGTCTCTACTGTTACCTCCCATTAGTTTTTGATGACGTGACCCTTAAATTCCGTTAACCCCACCCCACCCCCTCTTCTTCTTCTTCTTCTTTCTTATTTTTCTTCTCTCACACACATAAAAATAACTCATGTTCACTTTACCTCCGGTCAGTGGTGGCTCACACCGCTATCACCATCGTCATCGGCATGGCCTCCCAACCACAACCCGACCCTCAATTCATACTCACCGTCTACCATTTGTTCCAAATCACAAGAAAACTATTCGAACACCCATCATCGATCTTCGTCATTAGTCGTCGGTGACCGTCACTGCTGGTACCAGTAGGAGCACCGCCTCATTACGACCAAAACCCCGCTAGCCACTCGCCAAGACTCATATTCGTTTGTCGTAGAGAGGGCCCCGAATCTTTTCAAAAAAAAGCCATTAGTTCTTCTACTACTGCCGCCTCTCTTGTGGTTTCGTTTCAAGCTCAATTCATGTTTTTCCATTTCAAGACATGGATAAGCTTAACTCCTCTAATTCTTTGTTCTGTTGTCAATGGTGGAAGGATTCTTTCTAATACCCACGCTTCTTTTTCTTCTTCTTTTCCTACCCACATCGATGCTTTACATAAGAAACACATGATGTTTATTTTTCAACATCTTGATTAATTTCTTTTGTAAATTAAGTCGAGTTGATTTCAGGTATTTTGTTTTTGGAAAAAATGTTGTAGTTTCATCAACTTTGTAACCAAGGAAAGATTTCTCAAGCTGAGTTTGTTTGATGAAATATTGTAACTTTTCGATGTCCATTTTCAACAACAATTTTTGTTCTTATGAAATATGGTTAGTTAAAGTTCATTGTACTTAATAATGGTTGTTGTTGTCATGCTCAATGAATAAAGGAAAACAACATAACTCATATCTAGAGTTTCAAATCGTGAGGAACAAAGCAAAACCTAGCAAATTACTAAGAAAAAAAACATGGGTTTCAAGCAAAAAGAGCATTACTTTGGAAGGGAATCAAAATTCAAGTAAAAATATAGTAAAAAAAACAACAAATTACTAAGAAAAAAACATGGGTTTCAAGCAAAACACGACTAAATGCATTGTATTGTTGGAAGACGAAGAAGAAGAAGAGTTTACGAAGATGAGTTGATGGAGGTAACGTGCCACGTCAGCCCTAACTAACAGAAGGTAACGACATGGACCTTACTAAAAATGAATTAAAAGTTCGATGATTGTATTGCAAGTTTTAAAAGTTGGGTGACCAAAATAAAAGTGCCCTAAAAGTTTGAGGAATATTTATATACTTTACCATTCAACTTATTAGTGTTAATTTCAAATTAACTGAGTCAAAGCTAGCTTAGGTTTCACACAACCTAAAATGTTATGTTATGTTTTTTTAACATTTTAGGTTGTATATTTCCTTAGCCTTAAAAAAGGTTGCCTTATAGCAAAACCTCGCACAACCTAAAATGTTATGCTTTTTTTAACATTTTAGATTGCACCTTTCCTTAGCCTTAAAATAAGGCTGCCTTATAGTAGAACCTAAGGATGGCTTACAGCAGAACTGTAACATCCCCAAAGCAGGGTTAGTAACCAAATTATAAGAATTCAAAATTTAGTGGTTTAATTGGAATAACTTGAAAAGTTTAAGGATTTATTTTGGAAATTTTGTTTAGGACTTGGTATCAAAGTTGGATTATTAGAAGGGTATTATGGTATTTTCAAAGGAAATATTTTTATTTTTCCCTCTTTAAGTGATATATAACACGTGGAAATGAGAGAAATCTTATCCAAAGTTTTCTTCAGCTTTCTTCTTCCTATCCACCGTGGGTTCTTACATAAGGTGAGTATGTTTCTTAGTGATTATTCCTTTTATTTTAAGGTTGGTTTTGGTTCTTGAAGCATTAGGAAAGTTTAAAGAAGCTTAAAGAGAAGTAGAAACTAAAAGATGGACAAGCTATTAGAGATTAAGTAAAACAAGTTTTTGAGTGAATTATTGAAAAAGAAGGAGTAAATGGATTTTGAAGTTGAATTTGACTTGTCAAGGGTCTAATTAAGAAGTTAGAAGTAATAGAAGTAAATTAAGAACATGTTGGAAATTTGGTAAGATTTTTATTTTCAAGAATTATAATGAGTTATTGGAGATAATGGTGTGTTATATGGATAAAAGATGATTTAAGTATGTATAGCTGAGTTTAAAAGCATGAAGAGAGTTTAATAAGTAGAGTTTGGGTTAAGTGTTGGAAATTTTCGGGCTAAAGAAGCATATTCTGGGCTAGTAGTATCGATACTAGTTGAGTGAGTACTGATACTACAAGGTAAAATGTGATAATTTTTCGCAGGGTGTCGATACTTCATGAACAGTATCGATACCATAAGGTAAAAAGTGGGATAAATATTCATAGGGTATCGACATTGAAGTGGTAGTATTGGTACCATGGGTATCGATACCATTTCTTGCAATGAAATTACATAATAAAAAATGGGTATCAATACTGTGGAAGGGTATCGATACTACAAGTATAGAGGTATCGGTATTGTGCTTGTAGTACCGATACTACCTAAGTTGGAATTAATGAATCAGTGCTTTGTTTAGTTTATATTGGCAAAATGTTTTCTGAGTATTTTGAATTTCGATATTCATTGAATTGTATATTCATGTAGATATCAATTGAAGACAAGTCCAAGACGATTTGAAGCTTTAAGAGTGTGCAAGAATAGTACATGTTTGAATTGACTAGTGAGGCCGGGTGAGTGCTTAATATTAAGTGTATGTTATTCTATGGAATAAGACTTGCGATGAGTCTATTTTCCATATTAGGGTACATGAATCCATGAATGCAAGCATGCACTTGATATGATTCTTATGTGTCATATGTGATTGTATGTGTTACATGTGATACTATATGTGTTCCATGAGCTATGTGAATGTATATAAGCTATGTGGAATAAATATAAAGGATTGTATGGAATTGTAATATAAGTTAGGTAATGAGGATCTAGGTGTCTATATGTCTATGAGAAGAGATAAGAACAAAATATAAACCATGTAATAGGAATTTTGTAGC